TATATTTAAAAAAAAAAAAAAAGAAACTCAATCCTTAGATTTTCATTCCTTCATTTATCCTACTTTATTAACTAAAACCTACCCTGTAAAATCCTGTGCTTTACTTTTAAATTTTCTTTAAATTTGAGTATAGTTGACACATAATGTTGCATTAGTTTCAGGAGTACAGTATAGTGATTGACAAGTTTGTGTGTTATGCTATGATGACCACTATACCAACTGTCATGTACAATGCTATTACAATATTATTGGCTCTATTCCTTATGTTGTGCCTCTTATTCCTGTGACTTATTCATTCCCTAACTGGATGCCTGGATCTCCCACTTTCCTTTATCCATTTTTCCCAGGCCACCGCTATCATTCCCTCTGGCAACCATCAATTTGTTCTCTATATTTATAGCCCTGATTCCACCTTTTGTTGTTTAGCCATTTATTTGTGCTTTGTTTTTGTTTTTTTTTTAGATTCTATGTATGAGTTAAAACATGATATTTGTCTTTCTCAGTTTGACTTGTTTCACTTAGCATGATACCCTTCTAGGTCCATCCATGTTGTTGCAAATGCCATGATCTCAGCCTTTTTGTGTCTGCATAATATTCCATTGCATATGTATACCACATCTTTCTTATCTATTCATCTATCAATGGACACTTAGGTTGGCTCCATATCTTGGCTATTATAAATAATGATACAGTAAATATTTGAATTAGTGTTTTTGTTTTCTTTGGGTAAATACCCAGTAGTGGAATTTTTGGATCATGTGGTATTTCTATTTTTAAATTTTTGAGGAAATTCTGTACTGTTTATTACAGTGTCTGTACGAATGTACCTTCCTACCAACACTGAGTGGGGACAAGGGTTCCTTTTTCTCTACATCCTCACCAAGACTTACTACTTCTTATGTTTTTGACTTTAGCCATTCTAACAGATGTGAAGTGATATCTCATTGTGGCTTTGATTTCCATTTCCCTGATGATTAGTGATGTTGAGCATCTTTTCATGTGTCTGTTGGCCACCTAAATGTCTTTTTTGGAAACAATGTTTATTTGGGTTCCGTGCCCAGTTTTTAATTGGTTTGTTTGTGGGGTTTTTTGATGTTAAGTTAAATATGTTCTTTATACATTTTGGATGCTAACCCTTTATCAAGTGTGTCATTTGCAAATATATTCTCCCATTCAATGAGTTGTATTTTTGTTGTGTTGATGGTTTCTTTTTCTATGCAAAACCTTTTTATTTTGATGTAGTTCCACTAGTTTGTTTTTGCTTTTGTTTCCCTTGCTTGAAGAGACATATCTAGGAAAATGTTGCTACAGTTGATGTCAAAGAAATTACTGCCTGTGTACTCTTCTAGGGTTCCATGGTTTCAGGTCTCACATATAGGTCTTTAATCTATTTTGAGTTTATTTTTGTCTACGATGTTAGAAAGTGGTACAATTTTATTCTTTTACATGGAGCTGTCCAATTTTCCCAGCACCATTTACTGAAGAAACTGTCCTTTCCCCATAGTATATTCTCACCTCCTTTGTCATAGATTAACTGACCATATAATTGTGGGTCTATTCCTAAGCTTTGTATCCTATTCTATTGATACATGTGTCTATTTTTGTGCCAGTATCATACTGTTTTGATTACTACAGCTTTGTAGTATATCTTAAAATCTGGAATTGTAATACCTCCAGATTTGATTGGTTTACCTAGTCAGGGTCTTTTGTAGTTCCATACAAATTTTAGTATTATTTATTCTAGAAAAACTCATGCTTCTCATAGTAGCATCCTCATAAATACCAAAGATTCATAGATTTGCTTTGTTATTTTGAAATAATTTCTGATTGGCTGTGAAAAATTAATAGCTTCAGTAATAAATAATACACAAAATAAAACCCAAACCCCATAATCTTGTCCTGGGGTATATGGAGAATGCATTTACTT